TCGAGGGGCCAGGGGGCCTTTTTTTTAGGGGAGGGGCCCTAATTTTTTGGGGAATTTTTATGAGGGCAAGAAAGACTTTAGGGGCCGTTGTTATCAGGGGCCAAAATTTTTCCGGCGACACAGGGACGAGGGGGGGCCCGTTTTTTCAGGGCCGAGCAAAAACAGAGTTTTTTGGGGGGGCCACAAAGGAGGGCCCGAAGGTGGGGACAGTTTTTTCAGGGGAAAACCCCAAAACGGGGCCCAAAAGGGGAAAGTTAGGGGGCAAAACCAAAAACTCAAAAGCAGGGTTTTCAACCCCGGCCCGTAAAAAATGGTTCGGGGGGGGGGTTTTTTCAGGGAAAAAAAGTGGATCAGGGGCCCGTTTTTAAGGGAAGTTTTTCGGGGGAAAAAATTTTCCAAAATCGGGGTTGGCCAATTTTTGGGGCAAGCCGGACCCCCGGAAGGGGCTAGGGAGTTTGTGGCCGACTTTGGGGCCCAGGGGGGGTTCCCCCGCATGGCACTTGGGGGCCCTGTTTTCCCCCCCAGGCCCCCCCGCCCAGCAATTGGGACGTCGCCAATTTTGGTGGCCCGGGGGAGAAAAAACGTGGTTAAAGTTCCGGGGTTCCCCCCGCCTGCCCAGCCCCCTCCTTCACCGGGGGGGGTTTCCTTCTTGGCCCTGTCAAACCCGGACGGCAAACGGCCCTCCCACCCCCCCAGTCCAGGGGGGGTTTTTCAACCAAAATTTCTGAGGGAGGTTTTCGCCTTCGTTGGCCCTTTCTCCCCTACGGGTTCAGGGGGGGCCCTTTCCGGGGCCCCCACTCCCTCTTCCAAAGGGATTCCCCCTCCCCGCAGGTTCCCCCTTTTCCTTTGGGGGAATCCGGGGGGTTTTCCAAAAAGGGGGGGGCCAAACCCAAGTTTGCCCAGCACGGAAACGGGAACCCGGGGGCCCCAAACGCTTGGGGGAAAGCCTTCCTTTTTCCAAAAGGTTGTTGGGTTTTATGAGCCCCCCCCCTTTAAGTGGTGGACTCAGCCCTTTCCCCCCAGGAAATTTGGGGGGTTGGCTTGTTGGCCCCCCCGAGGGGGATTTTCCACAAGCCGGCCTTTTTCCTTTTCCCCCAAAAAAGGGGCAGCCCCCGGGGCCCAAGCCCTGCCAATTAACCCCCAAAAGGTAGAAGAAAAATGGGTTTCCCCGGCCCAGTTTGGGTTTTTCAAAAAAGCCGGTCTTCTTGGAAAAAGGTTTGGGACGGCCCCAAGGCAGGGGCCCCCGACGTGTGGAGCGTAACTACGGTCAGGGGCAGTAAATGCATTTTGGCCCCCCTGGGGGGAAAAGTGGTGCCGGCTCAGCCCCCAAAAAGCAACTTGGACGGTCCGCCGCTTTTGCCTCCCGTTTGCACGTCCCCTTTGGGCCACAAAAGAGGGCCCCCTTTTACCCCCTCTTCTTCCGCCGTGTCCTCAGCCGCCACCCCCCTGCCAAGCCCAAATTTAAACCCCCGGATTTTCACATGTTTTTCCCGGGCGCAACGGTGTCCCCGCTGTGCTGAACCCGGTATGCCTTGGCGAACGGTTTTGTTTAAAAAAGGGGGGAAAATTCTGAGTGTAATGAACAGGAAAACGGGCAGATGGCTGTCTCCGGCAAACTGAAAATTTTGGGAAAAACCCTGTTGACCGACAACGGAAAAAACATGGGGTTGCTCTGCGGGCAAAGGGAAAGGGTTTTGCCCTTTGGGCCTTTCATGGGGTCACGTGTTCAAATTTGGGTTTTAAAAACGGGGGTTCCCAAAAAACCACCCCTCCCCCTGCAAGACATCCCTTTTAAAAAGGCACGTAAAACTTTGTTTTATTTCAGCCTTTCCTACACCGCAAAGCACACCCCCCTTGAGCTTTTAGCGGCAGAACGGGGAAAATTTCCCCCGCATCGGCCCGATCTGCCCACGTTTGGGGAAAAAGGTGGGGAAATTTAACCCCACAATGTTTGGGCCGCCTTTACGGGAAAAGCGAAAGGCCATCCCGGGGTTTTCCTTTTGTTACAAGGGGGATAAAGGTAAACCCCCGTGTTAAAATTGTTGTAAACCCTTGGCAAACTTTATGCCCTGACACCTGCCGCTTGCTCAGGCCCCTTTTAGGGGCCACGCTATTCGTGGTCGGCAGGGACTATGGGTTTTAACGACTCATTCCTCTGTTGGGAATCCCGGAACAAAAGCTGTTAAAATGGTGGTCAGGGTTTCGGTAAGACGTGGCGCAAGATTTTCACGCCACATGACCCCCGTGGGGGCAGGACGGAAAAAAGAGGAGGAGGGTTTGGGGGGGCCCTTTGTGCTTAAAGGGAAATTTTTGAGGTTTAAATGGGTGGTTTTTTCACTCAGCGGACAGGAGGGAAAGGGCCCGGGATCTGGTTAAGGGGGAAGGGGGGGAGCAGAGGACCCAGAGCACCGTGGCAGTATTTCTGGGAGGAAAGGGGGGAGGGAATTCCCCCGCCCTTTTCCCTTGGCAAAAAAGGCCCTTTGCTGCTCGGTTGCTTGCGTTTGCGCAGCCCAATTTAAAAAAAACCTCAGACGGGGTTTACTTTTGGCTGTTTCCCCCTTGTTGGACCCCCGCTTTCCCTTCAAAAAATGGTGGGGCCCTTTTTTACACCTGCTGAGAGGGAGGCCAAAATAACGTACTATAATAACCTCCCATGTGTCAGTTTGGGCTCTGCCTTTCTGCGCCAAAAGTCCCTCCCCCGACACTGTGGGCCCTGTTTCGCTCGCGTTTGTGCCATGGCAGGGAGGGGAAGGGGGGTGGGGTGGTAGGGAGCAGTGGCGCTCCACCCGGGAGGGCTGCCTCCCGTTTTGCAGCGATGATGGTTTGTTTCTTTCCAGGGGCAGTGAGGAAAATACTAACCAGCCCCGCAGCAGCAAGGGAGCAGCACAGGTGGACCCGGAGCAGGACCTCAAAAAACAGGCTTGGGGGCCCACCCTTTGGGCGCACCCTGCCAACCGAGGTAGACAAAACCCCCTTGGAAAATTTGGGGAACAAAAACTTTACCCTTTTGGGCCCCCCCCTAGCTGAATTTGCCCCTTTAAAGGCGGGCTGCCCGGGCCAAATTTTGCGTGGGGTCGGAGGGGGTGTTTAGTGCGGCAGGAGGTATTTTAACTCCCCGGAGGACACGAAATTGGGCCCCCCCCCAAAGGGGGAGAGACTCCGTTTTTGAAAAAGAATCAGGCTTTGGGTTAGTTGGATTTCAAACCAAACCCGTTCCCGACACAAAATGACTTAATCCCCCTTTAATCTTTCCCCCAAAAAAATTTTGCCACCCTTTTAGGTTCCTCACACTTTCTGGAAATTTTTGGGTTCCCCTTTTTTGTCATAGGGTGATGGGAAAATTACGGGCCTCTCATTTCTGCTGAGGCCCCTAATCCCGCCAAAGGGCCCCCGTACCCCCTCCTCTGCTGCTGCCGGGGCCCGAGTTTCATGGGCCCTGTTTCGGCCTCCCATTGTGCGTCTCCAAAGCCACCCCTCCGCCCATGTGCCACTTTCAGGTCTCCTCACCCCGCCCGGTGTGTTTTCCCTTTTTTGTCATTGGGGGGTGGAGGGTTACGGGCCCCCTCATTGCTGCTGCCGGCCCTTAAACTGCATGGGCACCCTTACCGCCTCCTCAGCTGCTTTCCAGGGCCGAGTCTCTCATGGGTCCCTGTACGGCCTCCCCTTGCCTTTCTGTCTCCATCGCCAAACTTTGCCATGTGCCCCTTTCGATTCCTCACAATGCTTTTTGGGGGGTTCATTTTTTGGGCATTTGGGTGCTGGCGATTACGGGCCTCTCTTTTTGCTGCCAGGCCCCTTAAACGCCATGGGGCCCCTGTACCGCCTCCTTTTATGCTGCTGCCAGGGCCAGAGTCTCTCATGGGTCCTGTAAGGCTCCCATTGATGCTGTCTTCCATCGCCAACTCTGCATGTGCCACTTTCAGATTCCTCACCTGTGTGTGTTCCATTTTTTGTCATAGGGTGTGGCAGATTACGGGCCTCTCATTGCTGCTGGCCAGGCCCGTTAATCTCCATGGGCCCCTGTACCGCCTCTATGCTGCTGCAGGTCCAGAGTCTCTCATGGGTCCCTGTACGCCTCCCATTGCTGCTGTCCTCCATCGCCACACTTGCCATGTGCCCACTTTCAGGTCTCCTCACAAATGCTGGTGTGTTACATTTTTTGTCATAGGGTTCTGGCAGATTACGGGCCTCTCATTGCTTGCTAGCCAGGCCCGTATTCTGCCCATGGTCCCTGTTACCGCCTACTCATGCTGCTGCCAGGTCCCAGAACTCTCAGGTCCCTTTACGGCCCTCCCCTTGCTGCTGACTCATCGCCACACTCTGCTCATGTGTCCACTGTACGGCCTCCCATGCTGCTGGTTCTCCATCGCCACACTTGCCAATGTGCCACTTTCAGGTCTCCTCCTCACTGCTGGTGTGTTACATTTTTTTGTCATAGGGTGCTGGCAGATTACGGGCTTCTCATTGCTGCTGCCGAAGGCCCGTTTAATCTGCCATGGGCCCCTGTTCCAGCCTCCTATTTTCTTTCTTTTTTATGCTGCTGGCCCAGGTCCGAGTCCTCTCATGGATCTGGTCCCCCTGTACGGCTCTTCACCATTGCTGCCTGTCTCCATCGCCACTCTCTTTGCCATGGGCCACTTTCAGATATCCTCACACTGCTGAGTGTGTTACATTTATGTTGTCATGGGTGCTGGCAAGATTTACGGGCTCCTCTCATTGCTGGTGCTGCCATGGCCCGTAATCTTCCATGGGCCCCTGTACCGCCTCCTCCATGCTGCTGCCAGGTCCAGAGTCTCTCAATGGGTTCCTGTACGGCCTCCATTGCTGCTGTCTCCATCGCCACACTCTGCCATGTGCCACTTTTCAGGTCTCCTCACTACTAGCTGGTGTGTTACATTTTTGTCATAGGGTGCTGGCAGATTACGGGCTCCCAATGCTGCTGCCAGGCCCGTAATCAGCCATGGGCCCCTGTAAACCGCCTCCTCATTGCTGCTGCCAAGGTCCAGGAGTCTCTCATGGGTCCCTGTACGGCCTCCCCATTGCTGCTGTCTCCATCGCCACACTCTGCCATGTGCCACTTTCTTTAGGTCTCCTCACATGCTGCTGTGGGTTCCATTTTTTGTCATAGGGTGCTGGTCAGATTACGGGCCTACTCATTGCTGCTGCCAGGCCCGTAATCTGCCAAGGCCCTGTACCGCCTCCTCATGATGCTGCCAGGTCCACAGTCTCTCATGGGTCCCTGTACGGCCTCCATTTGCTGCTGTTCTCCATCGCCACACTCTGCCATGTGCCACTTTCAGGTCTCCTCACACTGCTGGTGGGTTCCATTTTTTGTCATAGGGTGCTGGCAGATTACGGGCCTCTCATTGCTGCTGCCAGGGGGGGGGGGCCCGTAATCTGCCATGGGGCCCCTGTACCCAGCCTCCCTCATGCTGTGACGTTGTAACAAAGGTGCAATTCAACCCTACATATGTTAGAAGACCCGCCGCCTTTACGAACAGCGAAAGGCCATCACAGAGTTCATGATGTTGCAAGGCGGATAAGGTACTCCCCTGTGTAACTTAGGGATGTCAGCCATTGGCAGCTCATTCGGACACCTGCCGCTGCTCAGGCCCTTTGAGGAGCCACGCTATTCGTGAGTCGGCAGGACTATGGGGATGAAACGACGTCATTTTATCTCTGTTGCACGTCCTGAAACAAATGCTGTTAAACAATGCTTTGTCAGGGTGCGGTAGGACGTGGCGCACAGATCTCAACGACGCCACATGACCCCTGTGGGGCAGGTACAGGAAGAAGAGGAGGAGGTAGAGGAGGACATTGGTGCTCAGGAATTATTGAGTGAAAATGGGTGGTTTTTCCACTCAGAGCGGACAGAAGTGGAGGATGAGCAGGAGCATCTGGTAGAGGAGGAGGAGGAGACAGAGGACCCAGGAACAGCACCGTGGCAGTATGCTGTGGAGATGGAGGCAGGGAGGTCCCTCGACATTCCTTGGCACAAATGGCCCATATAGCATGCTCGGTTGCTTGCGTAGCGACCCAGCCGAATAATAACCCATCAGACAGAGGGATGACTTTTGGCTGTCCACCTTGTTGGACCCTCGCTACCGTTCAAAATGGTGGCCATTTTTCACACCTGCTGAGAGGGAGGCCAAATATAAAGTACTATAAAAACCACCATATAGTCAGCTGGTCTCTTCTTCCTTTCTGCGCCAACGTCCATGCCCACAGACACTGTGGGCCCTGTGCGTCGCGTTCCGCTGCATGGCAGCAGGGGAGGGGTGGGGTGGTAGGAGCAGTGGCAGCTCCACCAGCAGCGGCTGCCTCAGTCTGCAGTCGATGATGAGTAGCGTTCTTCACCAGCACAGTGAGGATAAACTAACCAGCCACAGCAGCAGCAGCAGCAGCAGCAGCAGCAAGCAGCATCAGTGGACCTGGAGCAGGACCTCAAACAACAGGCCAAGGGCCTACTTGACAGCACCCTGCCAACAACCGAGGTAGACAATCACCTTGACTACTGGGCAACAAAAATTTGACCTTTGGCCCCAACTAGCTGAATTTGCCCTTGAAAGAGCTGTCATGCCGGCCAGTAGCGTGGCATCGGAGCACGTGTTTAGTGCGGCAGGAGGTATTGTAACTCCGCGGAGGACATGACTGTCCACCCAAAGTGTGGAGAGACTCCACGTTTGTGAAAATGAATCAGGCGTGGATTAGTCTGGATTTCAAACCACCAGTTCCTGACACAACTGACTAAATCCGCCATGAATCATGCCCCCAAACATGTGCCACTTTCAGCGTCTCCTCACACTACTGGTGGGTTCCATTTTTGTCATAGGTGCTGTATGGCCTCCCATTTTGCTGCTACCGTCCACCACCGCCGCACTGTGGCTCCACACTCTGGTTTTGGCCCCATGACTGCCCAAATGAGTGAAGTGTGCGGTGATTCTAAGATTCGACGGCACTCATCTGCATGTCATAAAACTGACTGACAGTATTATTTCTCTTCCCCAGCAGACTCCAAGGTGCATTTAAATTAAAGGGGTACAGTGTTCTGCACCTAATATAAAGGCTCTCTGAAGCCTAGAAACACCCTTTTATAAGTTAAAAAATCGTAGCGAATATATTCGCAATCGAATCGAAATTTATTTTCCTCGAATTCGCCGAATCAGCCGAATCGAATTTTTTGAATACTTCGCTAATCATCTCTAATCATAATTCCTCTCAGCCGAGGAAGTTTTTGTGAGAAAAAATGCATCTGGATGGATCAGTTCCTTGTAGTCCTTGGCTTTAAGAAACGACTGCCCCGAACTGTGTTTTCTGAAGCATCTACTACTAGGATGTAAGGTAGAGTAGAATTCCGGATGGCTCAGGACGGGGGAGCAGTTTGTGAATAGCTTCTTGAAGGTTTCAAAAGCAGTCTGTGCTTCAGAAGTCCAGTGGAAAGACGGACACCTTGCTTCTTGAGTTCTGTGTGGAGCAAATATGGAGAGGCCCGCCGGTATTCCCCCCCGTCGAGCCGCCGTATTTGAATACCAGGCCAGCCACTCGGCTCTTCTGTGCAGCAGAATGGCTCCTCAGTCCTACCTGTTTCCTTGGTCCAGCGGTGTCCTCATCATCTTAGTGTGGGCACCAAGCTGTGACAACTTGCAGCTTCACAGCCGGGTGCCCACTGCGCATAGCACAATACAAGCGCTGCACTTTTGTGAATGGCCCCGTAGTCTTCTGGGACTGTCACGTATCAAGTCACTGGTCATCTTCTGTAGTACATACTGCAGTCTCTGGTCATCTCCTGTAGTATTTGGCAGTCTCTGGTCATCTCCTGTAGTAATGTCCGCAGTCCCTGGTCATCTCCTGTAGTACATCCGCAGTCTCTGGTCATCTCCTGTACTATGTCTGCAGTCTTTCTGGTCATTCTCCTGTAGTACATCCGCATGTCTGCAGTCTCTGGTCATCTCAATACTATGTCTGCATCTCTGGTCACCTCCTGTAGTACATACCGCAGTCTCTGTCATTTCCTGAACTATGTCTGCAGACCATTGGTTCAGAATATTGTAATTTCTTGTTTTCCCTCCTCTAAAACCTAGGTGCATCCTATGGTCAGGTGCGTCTTAAGGAGCAAAAATTAATACAGTAAGTCCTTGTCTTTGGGTTGTAGTGGAATGTGTTGCTGAGCTGCAAAAGATAAATCAATGAAACAACTACAAGCCCCGGAATCAATAATTGTGGTGTCATTGACACAACTCTTCCCGGAAGCTGAAAGGAGACAGGTAATAGCTATATGAGCAGAGCTGCTGCAGCCAAGGGTGACTGGTTATCTGGGGAAGAAACGAGAGAGACACACAACCTTGGCTGGGCAGGCAAACGCACATAGTGACCGGGCTTACTACACAATACAGACAGATGCTTGTTTCACCCCCCCCCCCCCCCCCCCCCCCCCCCCCCCCCCCAACAACGGAATAGGCGTTCCTCTGGTGTTAGTGAAGGACAAATCAGGCCAAACTGCATAGGCTAAGGTGCCTCTGGTGTGTAAAGTAATAGGAACATCTTCACAAAATATCTGCGCTGACGTGATAGCAAGGTATAGACAGAATTAATTCTCCTTTAATTCAATGACCAACATAATACTTAAGCTAGGATCGGCTTGTTTGTGGTTTACAGTAGGGACTGAAGAATATTTTTTGCCAGCAAAAATGTTACATTTTTTTAAACTGGAAGATCTCTAAACCTGGCTGATCCCTTTTCTCTTCTCACAAAAAGAAAGTAGAGAACCATTCCTATGCTACATTAATCATAATACATAATACATAATACATTAATTAGAGCCAAACAAGTAAAATTGCCCATTCTTTACTACTTTAGAGCCTTTCTTCTCCAGACATTAAAGATCTTGCACAATCTCCTTTCTGGACAGACTGATCATCTGTTGGTGTACCACAATGTTCTGTTCTTGGACTCCTCTTTACCATGGGTTTACAGCAGGCTTTCCCAAACATTTTACCCCTGAGGAGCCCTTGAATTAAGTTTCAAGTCCCAGGGAACCCCTGATAAGATAAGTCCATCAGGGTACAGTGGGAACATGTCCCTTATATTGTTGGTCAGTGGGAAGAATGTGTTTGTATGCTCTGGGACACTTTAAACATTGTGATTTTTTTGATGATTTTTCAGCTTCAAATTGTGAATATATGGCTTTGTCCAATTGGCGCACATCCACGTTTCTGATTGAGGTACCCTCTTTCCCCCTCCTCTTTGGATCCAATGTTCATGCTTCCTACTGGCCTCCCACAAATTTACTGATGTCATCAATAAGTAAATGATGATATATGCTTACTTTTTTGGCCTATTTTTTTTATAATTTTAGAATCACATACTTTGTCTCCCTGAGGACGCGGGCTGTGTCCCATGAAACGTTTTGTAGAAACAAGCAAAGTATCAACTTGGAACTCTTATGCTAATTATGACTTGTATGCCATTTAAGGCCATATTCTGTAATGTTATGTGTTGATTGTGTTTTGTTACAAGCATTACATGCTTTTTTATGATGAGCGTTTTGATTGCTCAGTTCTTATTACTACAACGGTGGTTTGAATTTTATCAATAAAGTTGCATTTCTTAAATTTTTTTTAAGGTATTTATATTGTAAAGCGCTGAGCAAACTGTTGGCGCTATATAAATCCTGTATAATAATAATAATGGTATGGTGCCTTTAAAGCCCCATTAGTTTTCTAAGTTAGGGCTTTGTATTTTTCAGTGTTTTGTTAACAAGGGGTGTGGCACCAATAAAACATACTAGCAAGAGGGGAGACCTTATTATGGGCCTCTTCCCCCCTACTCTCTCTTTAGTATTAATGTCTCCCTTACAGTGGTTGTCAAAATGTCATCCACAGTCAGCTAAAAAGATCATTGATGTCATACTGTTGGCTCTACTAAGTCGTGTTGGGTAAGCACCATCAAATGGGAGTTTGATTAGCCAAAGCTCAAGGAACATCTGGAGGAACCATAGGGTCTGGACACAACAGCTTTCATTTAATTATATTCCTCAATAGCCACAAAGGATACAAATCTGCTTTTGTGACTATCAAATGTTGTTGTAAGTATTTTTTGTAAGTAGTGTTGTTATCAGATTGTTTCTACAAACATTTGTGAGAGAATGTGTAGCTCCCAGGAGCTCAGTGAATTCAAGCGTGGTATCGTGATAGGTTGCCACCTGTGCATCCATAAAATTTCCTTCCTGCTAAATATTCCACGGTCAACTGTTAGTGGTACTATAACAAAGTGAAAGCAACTGGGAACAACAGCAACTCAGCCACGAAGTGGTAAACTACCTTAAATGACAGAGCAGGGTCAGTGCATGCTGAAGTGCACAGTGTGCAGAAGTCTCCAACTGTCTGCAGAGTCAATAGCTAAAGACGTCCAAACTTCATGTGGCCTTCAGATTAGCATAACAACAGTGCATAGAGAGCTTCGTGGAATGGGTTTCCATGACCGAGCAGCTGCATCCAAGCCTCATATCACCAAGTACAATGCAAAGCATCTGATGCATTGGTGTAAAGCACTCCGCCAATGGACTCTAGAGCAGTGGAGACGTGTTCTCTGGAGTGACGAATCACGCTTCTCTGTCTGGCAATCCTATGGTCATGTCTGGGTTTGGCAGTTGCCAGGAGAACGGTACTTGCCTGACTGCATTGTGCCAAGTATAAAGTTTGGTGGAGGGGGATTATGATGTGGGTTTTTTTTCAGGGGGTGGTTGTAAAGGCCCAATGTTTTTTACCTTCATGTATTACCTTCTAAAAAATCTTTTGCGTGTAGCAGCTCCCCTAGCCCTCCCCCCAATACTTACCTGAGCCCCATCTTGATCCAGCTATGTGGACCAGAGCAGCAGCTCTCTGGGGACTTTTCCTCCTCATTGTCTGAGATGACAGCAGGAGCCATTGGCTCCCACTAATGTCAATCACAGCCAGTAAGCCAATGATGAAAGAGTGGGGGGGTGAGGCACACAAACTAGTGTGTGAATGGACACACAAAACAGCAGCTTGGGAGCTGGCCTGCTTGGGTGCCCCCGCAGCAAGCTGTGAGCCAGGAGCTTCGGTGTCGACCTGAGAAGAGGAGGATATGTGAAAAATGTCAATTGGCCTGACCACAAGTGGTTAAAAATTAGATAAAGAAGATCATTTATTTATCTTCATGTGTGGACATACTCAGAAGAATTTTATAAAGTATATAAAACTATTAAAGTAAGTGCCACCAAAAAAGCTTGCATGCTAATATCCTTACCACACTCAAAAACATCAACACATCATTGTAGTCTTAAAGTGGAATGCCAGCCATCAATTGTATCTGTAAGCCATAGATTTTCTAGAGTGCAGTTTTTTTGCAGTTTCAATAGTTCGAACTGCTGTTAGATTTTTATTGCTGACTGTTATTAAGGAAACAGGATTATCAATCAGTAATTGTTTGCCACTATTACCAGCTTCTGCCACCTTTTCTGGTCTGGCACCTTTTACAAACTCCTGCCACCTCTCCTAACCTGTTTTAGCACTACGGAATTATAAAGGTGCCACACACACTGTCTCTGCATCTGGTTATCAGCTGCAAAAGTTGTAATGTTTGCTGAAAGATAAAATCAGAATTGTGCCTTGAAGGTTGCAGCCTATTCTACTGCTTCAGCACTGTAAGTTGCCTCACACAATGTTTATGCAGTTGAACCTCAGCTGACGTATTTCTAATGTTTGCTGCAGGGTAAATCCAGCTTTCTGTCTCAAAGTTTGCACCTGTTCTGCAGTTGTGGCACTCTAAAGGTGCCACACAAGTTTCTGCAGCTGGACTTGAGCTGATAGATTTGCTGTATGTTTAACCATGCTCTTTCTCAAAGTTTGTTGTGTATTCCAATGTTTCAGCACTGTAAAGGTGTCATACAATGTTTCAGGAGCTGTACTTCTGCTGACAAATTTGTAATGTTTGCTGCAGATTACATGCTTTCTGTGTCTCCAAGTTTGCATTCTATTCCAGGGCTACGACACTCAAAAATAATGCAAACACTAAAATAATACACTCCAATGTTTATTTCAAGATGAAACCTACCTTGTCTTTCCCTCTTACATTGCAACCTAACAAAGGTCCTTGCATAGTGTACAGCCACTGCATTTGTGGTTATTGTATTTGAAATAATAAACTCTAAAAGAAGCAACTGGCAAGACTGTGAACAGCATTGAGAACCTGAAAGGGAGTTTGGACTGTACCCATCATGTGATGGCAGGAGCCATTATAGAGGAAATTTGGAGCTGCAGGTAGAAGGAAAAGCTTTAGCGAGGTCAGTCCTGAGTTGACACATCTCAATAAATACACTCGATTGCATGATGGTGGGGTTATCAGTTCAGGAGTGGCAGCAGGGTGGGGCAGAGTGTCTTCCCAACGGAGCGTCTTCAAAAATGATTTTAGGGACTTGCAATGTTAATAAAAAGGACCTCCAACATACTGCTTGTACCTCGAGCCACACCAGAGAGGCAACAGGAACTTAGGGAACTTAACAAGTGGCTGAGGAACTGGTGCAGAAAGGAAGGTTCTGGGTTAACGGAGAGCTGGACTTACTTTTCAGTTGGTTACCAGCACTATAGCAGGGATGGACTGCACCTAAATGGGGAGGGTGCAGCTCTGTTGGGGGAGAAGATGGCCAAAATGTTGGAGAATCTTTTAAACTAGGTTTAAGGAGGGAGGGATCTGAGGAAGCTATAGCTGGCAGTGAACAAAGGTCAGAGGGTGCTATAGGGGCAATATTGGTAGTGTAACTGGAGTACCTAAAACCAAGGTTCATATGTTTACAAAATCCTATTGCAACCTCAAAACAAACAAGAAGAAAATAATACATACTTGTACAAAATTAAAAGGCATGTTTAAAATGCTGGAAATATGGTTAATAAAATGGAAACACTCAAAGTGCTGATTTATTAGGAGGATTTCAACATCATGCAAGCATCAGAAACCTGGTTTGACAGCTCACATGATTGGCTTGCAACTGTCCAGGGGTCCCTGCTGTATTGGAGGAACAGGAAGGTTAGAAGAGGGGGAAGGGTGTGCCTGTGTGTTCTGAATAATTTGCTAGTAAATCCAAAAGGGTGACATTGCTAATGGGACAAGGGAGGAGCTGGAAGCCTTTTGAATAACATAATTGCCTCCCAGTGGCAGCTCCCGGGCAGAGGAGGGACAGCCAGCAACAGATGTGCCATAATGAGTCTGTAGGTGTCACCACACAGCCATTTTCTGTGATTTCTCCTCTCCTATCTTCTGATGCTGCAACTACAGGGTAGTTGGAAAAGGATTTGGAATGTGGTGGGAGCCGGATTAAGCTTAGTTAGGAATAGCCTGAACTTCCACTTTAAGGACATATTAAGTAATGGCATTAGCCAGTGCATTGCCATGGGCAACAAATATATAAAAAAAACTAAAGTTAAACCTGGGTGGCTAATTTCTAGTGTAAAATGGCATATCAATGAGAAAAAAAACTGTCCTTTAAAAAATATAAGGCCGAGTGGTCTCATCAGCATTCCAACACTAAAAAGAATGCAGTAAGAAATGTAAGAATGTGATCAGGGCATCTAAAATAGACCACAAGAAACACATAGCAGAGGAATGTAAACCCCCCCCCTCCCCAAATTTTTAAATATAATAATAGTAAAAAGGCTAAGTCAGAGCATATTGCCCCCATAAAGGATAATTAAAGGAAATTGGTTACAAATGACAAGGAGAAGGCAACAGTAATAAATACATTCTTTTCCTCAGTTTTTACAAAGGGAAAAAGAAGGATATAATAAACAGGACTGTATTGTAAGAAACACAGTGCAAAATCTACCTTGTGGCTAATAGAAGCCAGTGTTTAAAGAAAGACTTGAAAAAAATAATGTGAGAAAATCACAAGGACCAAGAGTCCTCAAAGAGCTTAGCCATGCTATAGCAAGGCCATTATTCCTAATCTTTAGGAACAGCTTTGTTTTTGGATTTGTACCAGCCAATTGGCAAAAAACTAACGTGCTACTAATATACAAAAAAGGGGGCAAGATATATACTTGGAAACTACAGAGCAGTGAGCCTAACATCAATAGTATGTAAAGTACAACCCAATGCCAAAAAAGTTTGCACACTGTGTAAAATCTATATAAAAAAACAGAATGCAGTCATGTTTTTCCAGTTCTTCCTTGCTAGCACCACTTACTTTGCCAGCTTTTTGTTGCCCTGTTCCAACTTTTTTGAAACGTTGTTGCTGTCAATTTAAAAATGATAGATTTTCTCAGTTTAAACATTTGATAGGTTTTCTATTTTCTATTGTGAATAAAATATAGGTTTGTGAGATTTGCAATTGTATTCTTTTTTTATGTACATTTTACATAGTGTTCACAGCATTTCAAATTTTTGGGAATTGGCATTGTATTTGAGGGGACGAGAAGGGACCATATGCAAGAATTTGCTGCTAGAAATAGCATCACTTGTGGCAACCAGCATGGATTTATGAAAGATAGTTCTTGCCACACCAATTTTTTAATATTCAATGAGGAAGTAAGTTATAATCTGGATAGAGGAAAGCCTGCAAAAATGCTTTATCTGGATTTCTCCAAAGCATTAGATACAGATCCCCATAAATGCTTAATTTACAAATTGAGGTCTGTTGGCATGGATGATAGTGTATGTACCTGGATAGTAAAGGAGACAGAAGTGTATCCAGAGGTTGGTGATAGTTACATAGTTAATCCGGCTGAAAAAAGACAAAAGTCCATCCAGTTCAACCATTAAAAAAAAAAAAAATTTATAATCCTATACCCACAGTTGATCCAGAGGAAGGCAAAAAAACACAGCAAAGCATGATCCAAAGAATAAATTCAGTTCCTCTAATCTTTCTTCATAGCTGAGCTCCTCCTTGCGACTTAACAGTTTGGTTGCCCTTCTCTGTACTTTCTCCAGTTCCCCAATATTCTTTTTTGTGAATTGGTGCCCAAAATTGAACTGCATATTCCAGATGAGGTCTTACTAATTATTTGTACAGGGGTAAAAAGATATCTCTCTCTCTCTCTGGAGTCTATACCTTTTTTAATACAAGAGAGGATTTTGCTCGCTTCAGAAACCGCAGCTTGGCATTGCATGCCATTATTAAGTTTGTGATCTACCAGGACTCCCAAATCCTTTCCACCATTGATTCTCCCAGTTGCACTCCCCCTAGTATGTATGCATATTCTTAGCCCCTAAGTGCATAACCTTACATTTATCAACATTAAACCTCATTTGCCACATAGTTGCCCAATTAAACAGTACATTAAGGTTGGCTTGCAAGTTGGAGACATCCGGTAAGGACGTTATTCCACTGCATAGCTTGGTGTCATCTGCAAAGACTGAAATGGGATTTTTAATCCCAGACCCTATATTGTTTATAAATATATATTAAAAAGTAATGGTCCCAACACTGAACCCTGGGGTACACCAATAACAACCCTAGACCCTTTAGAGTATGAATCATTAACC